TGTGTGTGTGTGTGTGTGTGTGTGTGTGTGTGTGTGTGTGTGTGTGTTTATGATTACGTATGAGTCGCAACTTGTCTGCACCTTAATTTTCTTGTTTGTAACATGGGGAAAATAATAACTGTACAATTTAGTTTATTTGCTTTATAAGTTTGCCTTGGGAAATGTGCTCTGTAAATCTTAAAATTTAAATATGTTATTATAAATCTATTATTATTCATTTAAAATGTTATCTTTCACTCAAGTCCTAATCTGATGCTTCACTGTGGTGTGGAAGTGATATCTTGGGTTCCTTAAAGTTTAGCAGAGTAAAAGTTCTGCCAGGTCTTCTTAGGCAATTAAGGCCAAGCTCTGCAACACATAGTTTATCTGTCTTCTGTAGGACCAGCTTCACTAAGTTTATAGGGTCTTATCACCATAAGGTTGGCCACCGGGTGATGAATTGTATTTTGACCAAGTCAACTCAAAAGGACCATCCATGAAGACTTAGAGGAGTTGTGATCTACAACCACTGAGGGTGTACTGAAGTGAAGGTTTAGAAGAAGCTCCTACCTCTTCATATGCATCTATATCAATATATACATCCGTGTTGGGAAGCTGACCAAGAACTGTGTAGGTTGGACTGGAAAAAAGAAAAAGCATATTATGGTATCATCACAATAAAGAAAAGGAAACAGTTTTTACACATATGGATCAGTGTCACCAGCAATATCTGATAACTACAGTTTTTTTTCTTTTTTGGGTCTAAAGCTGGAATTTCATTGATTTAGGGAATATTCAATATATGGAAAATCCCTTTACTGATGCAGATCTGTAACTCTTTAGCAAGCTATAATTTTAGAGTTGAAATGACTTGCCCAGGGCCACACAACAAGTGTGTGTCAGAGGGAGGACCCAAATCCAGGTCATCCAGATTCAAAACCTCTATCTGCTATACCAAGCTCTGTCTGATCTTTTCATAGAATATCCAAAACACAATGCATTTTCTAGCTCACTAATACATAGGTTCTTACAATCTCCCCAAGAATGGGAATGTCTCCTTCAAAGACAGGAGAAATATGAGGCAGAGAGAACTCCCTTGTCTATACTGTATGTCCCAGGCTAGGTTTTCAAACCTATAAACTTGTATTTAAAAAAACAAATTGGTGATTGTGTTTTGATATAATTGTTTTCCTTTGCAATCTCATGTATTTTATTTTATGCCTCTAACGCCATTATTCAGGGATCCATAGACTTTACCATAGTACTAAATGAGTCCATGACATAAAAAAGATTAAGGCCCTTGTTCTGCCTTCCCGCTCTACTGCTTAGATGGAGGACAAGGAATCCTCTTAGCAGAGGAAAGATCTCTCTCTTTTTAGTCTCAGTTTCTCTCTAATTCATTCTATACAATGCCACTGAATTAATTGAATTAGCACTGAATTAACCTTGAAAAAACACATTTGTGATACTTCTTTGCTAAAAACCAAAACCAAAAACCAACTTCTAGTGGGTACTTACTGCTTGCTGCCAAGGAGAAACTCCAAACTCGGCATAACTTGGCTTCACCTTAGCCATACAAGCTTTTTCCCCCACTATTACTCAATAGGAACACTCCCCTCCTCTGGCTACACCAGTTTTACTGTCCTGTGAACACCTCCATTTGTTCTTCATTCCAAATTTTTTCTCATGCTATTCTCTCTACTTTGAATCATTTCTCATCTTCTCTCCATCTAGCCAAAATCTTACCTATACTGCAAGGTCTAGTTATGCCTCCCTCCAAACAAGGTTCCATAGGAAAAAACAAAAAACGTCAGTCAAGAATGTGGAGAAAGTTCTCCTTAAAAATCTTATTAAAATCTGTTTAAATGTATTTAAAAAATTATAACCTCATGTTTTTAGATTTTGAAACTCCTATCCCTTTTCATAAATTATTCTATGTCTAGGCTGAATGCTGGATGCTAAAGAACTGTTTAATAAAAAATATTAATTGAAATGCAAAAATTAGAATCTGGCTTGAGGAAGCAAAGGGATAAAAAATGTCAAGAGAAAGGGATATTACTTCCCTTCAGAATTCCCTTCCATTTCTGCCAAATCATATGGATTTAAAAGGATAGGGTTTTTCTCATTTCCATGGTAGGGAGAAACAGTATAAAGAATCCTGGGTACAGCTGACTGAGTCACGAAGTCTTTGGTACTAGATCTGGAAAAAGAAGTAAAAACTTGTAGTAGGAGGTAGACAAGTGAGGAGGTGCTGAAACTTAACATTTGCTACTTCCTCTTCTTTCTCTCATCCCAGAGGTAGCTGGGTAGATAGAGCCCTGGACCTGAAATCAATAAGACTCGACTCTCCCAACTGTTAGCTTCAGTGCTAACTTTTTACTTTAGAACCAGCCCTGAATCATCAATTGATGCAAGGGCATCTCCAGTTGGATTCTCTTTAAAGAAAATCATCCTTTTAAAAAGATTTTAAACACACATTTTAAACTAAATTCATTGTCTTTGCACCCAAACCAGCTCCTCTTCCTAACTTTATTTCTACAAATGGCACCACTGTGCTTCCAGTCATGTAACTAAGCCACCAAGTCCGGTAGATTCTAGCTTTATACCGTCTCTCATAAAATATTCCTTCTCTCTTCTGATGCTGCTACCATCACTGTGTGGGCTCTTTACCACCCCACACCTAGAAAGCAGTCTAGCAATAGCTTTCTGGTTATTTCCCTGGCTTGAATCTCTCCCTACTCCAGTCCACCCTTAGCTGACAAATCGATCTCTTTAAATCATAGATTTGACCATGTAATCCCCAAACTCCATCGAATAAACTTCAGGGACTCCCTATTACCTCCAGAATCAAATGTAAAATCCTTTGGCATTCAAAATCCTGCATAATCTGGTCCCTTCCTACCTTTCTCTATTCTCCCACTCCATCCCCCGCTTCCCATACTCTGCAATCCATAACGCTGCCCTCATCCTTGTGTACACATGCACACACACACACAAAGTATGATACAAAATATAGAATGATATAGGTTAAGGTGTGATCCAGAAAAGTGCTATAAGAAAATATGAAGGGAAAAATAACACTTTCAGGAGTGAAAGGATATGGAGTGAGGTTGAGGAAAAGCTTCATGAAGAAGGTTCAACTGTAGCTGAGCTTTGAAGAAGGAAATGGATTTTCAAAAAGAAATGGATATGTGGAGGCAATGGGACATGGGACATACTTTGAGTGAATGCCAAGAGACAGACAAGTGTAGGCTGAGTTCAGAAGAAAGCTAGAGGTACAGTTGAGATGAAACATAGACTCATCAAAGAGGTGTTGTATGAAATGATGTTGGATGAGTAGGTTGGAACCAGACTGTTAGGGAGACAAATGCTCAGTTGAGACCTTTGTCTTTTATCTCACAGGCCACAGGGAGCTGTTGGAAGTGTCTGAGCAGGGTCATATAATCAGAATTGTGTACTGGAAAAATTATTTTGCATTACATTATTATTCAACTGTGTTTATGTTTTGTCTCCCCAAGGAGATTATATACTCCTGAAAGTCAGGAATGGTTACTATACCTTTTTGATATCCTACTCAACATGAAGGACACAGTATATAAATATTTCTTGAGAAGTAAAATGGAACTGTAGATATACTGTGGAATGACTTTTGACCCTGAGTTTAAGGATTCAGGCATGACATGGTCTTTGTCCTCATGGAACTTTCAACTGAGTAGGTGATTATTATGAATTCACTTGAAATCACTCAGTGATTCAACTAAACCAGTACTTCACACATGATACAAGGCAGCATATAATAAAGGCAAAGAAGACATCCAGATAAATAATTCCTAGTTTATTTGAGGAGAGAGGAAGGGAGGGAGGGAGGGAAATAGGGGGAGAGGGAAAGGGAGAGAATGAGGGAGAGAGAGAGAGGGAGAGGGGAAGGGGGAGTCAAAAGTGAGAGAGGGAGAGACAGAAAAGGAGGGAGAGAGATCACTTTCAGTTGAATGAATGAATTTATTAGTGAATTTATTATGGATAATGTGTGGGTTAATCCACATATCATTATGAAAATATAGCTATAAATGATTGAACTTCAGGGAGAAAGACTATTGCCAAGAAGTACAAATTAAAGGAGAAGGGAGAAAGTTTGTGGATGTGGGAAACAAAGACCCGGAAATACTGGGTAAGATCATCTATTTTTACTTCGTGAGTATCAGGAATTAGAATTATCAAAGCAAATGGTAAGAATTAGTGTCCAAGTTAAGACTGAATCAGTAAATTCTAGGGCTACAACTAACTTGCTAATAATGACAACTATTTTGTTCTTAACTAGGATCTTTTGGTACAAAGGAGCAGAAGGAAACTGAAGATAGATTTGCAGGGGTGAGGAACCCGGGGCCTTGAGGCCACATGTGGCCCTCTGGGTCCTCAAGTGTGGCACTTTGACTGAAACCAAACTTCACAGAACAAATCCCCTTAATAAAAGGATTTGTAAAACTTGTTCTGTAAAACTTGGACTTAGTCATAAAGCTGCACTCAAGCACCTAGGAGGCCACAGGTTCCTCACCCTTGATAGCATATCCTGAAAAATGAGGTCATCTTTTTTCTTTTTTTAAATTCTTTTGTTTTGTTTTGTTTTTGGCATTCCAAACTTTACCTTTGCTACTTCTATTTTCTATGTGGATGACTTCCAACCTATATCTTGAAAATTGATCTCTCTTTCAATGCCAATTTCCTGATTCCAGTTGCCTGCTGGACCACTACCCTTATTAGAAACTTGAATTTAATATGTTCAAATGAATTTTATCATCTTCTCTCTAAATATTTTCTTCCTCCTGTCATCTCTACTTCTATCAATGGCCTATCATTCTCCTCATAACATAAGCTGGTGTTTTTACCACAGAATCATCTTTGACTTCTCTCACTAATCCGACAAATTAATTCTGTCCCACCATGTCTCAAATTCATCCTATTGTTGACATTCCCATCACTGCTGCCCTAGTTAAGATCCTCATTATTTGTATCTACTGCAAAAGTCTACTAAGTGAAGAGGTAAGCATATTTTCCAGACCAAATATTGGGACTCACGGTCTAACAAAAGTCATTCTTTTAGCACAACCTCATTAAATATATGTTTTCTTTTCTTGAAATTGCTAATGTCTACTGAGGTGCAGTGCATAGAGAACTGGGATTGGAGTCAGAGAGATCCGAGTTGAAACACAGCCTCAGAGACTCACTACTGTGTGATCCTGGGCAAGTCAATTAAATTAAGTCTGCCTCAGTTTCCTCAGCTGGAAATGGGAATAACAATAGCACCTACAACCCTGGGGTGTTGTGAGATCAAATGAGACAATATTTGTAAATATTAATAAATGCTTAATAAATGTTTATTTCCTCCCTCCCTCTTTTTCTTCCTTCTTTCCTCTAACCCCTCCTTCCTCTCTCCCTCCATCCCTTTCTTCCTTTCTTCCTCTATCTGGTCTACCTTAGCTGTAGCTGGTATATTAGCCTCCCTGAAGCTCGATTCTCATCATGTCCTGCTTCTGTGAAACAACAATAAACCTTCAATAGGTCACCACTGTCTAACAAATAAAGTCTAAACTTTATTTCTCATCCTGGTTTTAAAGGCTTTTGCTATTCTCATTTTAACCTATGTTTTCAGCTTCATCTTTAACTCCCGCCCGCGTACCTATGTTTCAGCTAAACTATAATTCTCATTGTTTCACAAACACGACCCGTGCTTTATCAGTTCCAAACCTTCGCTCATACTCTCCATCCTGCCTGGGATATCCTCCTCCAATTTCTATCTGTCTGCATTCTACTATTCTACAAGACTTACCCTTCTCCTTCATAAAAGTTTCTCAGTTCCTTTTAATTATCTGTGTTATGTAAGCTCCTGTAAAACTTTGTACTATTCTTATGGAAATTAATAATATTTGCTTATATTATAGTTATGTATGTACTTGTTTCACTACCTCTAATAGATAATAAAATCCTATTAGATTATAACCTGCTTGAGGGCAGACATTGTATCTTGTCCATTTTGTACTCCCTAAAGAGCTTAGCATAGTATCTGGCATGTAACAGGTACTCAACTATTTGTTGAATTGATCTGAATTTTAACAAGTCTTTCCTTGCTCCTCTCCTTCTCACTCTTTAAGTATGTATATATGTATATGTATGTGTGTGTGTGTGTGTGTGTGTGTGTGTGTACCCCCTCTTCTGCTTTTTGTTCAAACTGAATGAAAATAATCAAAGGACTCCAATTTCACTCCATACTGAGACTACAATATAAAACCATAATTTTAACTTTAAATATAGTATTATAATATCCACACATAGACTCACCACCCAACTCACCTTTGTGTTCTGTAAATAACAGTCATCAGAGCAATTATCACTGCAGTTATTAGACCATAGTCTAATCCAAGGAACAGGGAGGAAACAAAAGTGGTAAGCCAAATAGTCTAAACCAAAACAAGAAAGCTTTGTATTAAAATAGTTTTAAAAACCCAGTAATTATAAAAAAGTAACTAACAGAATGGTGATCAGATAATTTAATATCCCTACCTAGACAGCACATTCACAATTCTTTCAGCTGCTTTTCTCATTGTATCACAATACTATTCCTTAATTACCTCTATTATATACTCATTTAATAATCATTTAAATTTTTTTCCCTAAAAATATAAGTTTGAAAATATGGTATGGTATTTTAAAAAGTCTTATCTTAGATGGGCACACATTGAACAATGTAGTATATGTACTTTCTAAGTAAGGAGATTTGTCTTCTAGGCCTTCACATAGGTGTTTTAGGGAGAATTTTCAAACAGCATGCAGGTAGATTCAGAATGACATAAAATATTTTTCTTCTGTTAGTCAATAACATTTCTTGAGCATTCTTACATACATATACATACACAGTAATTTTTCCTATGTCTTATTCTCTCTTCTAGGGAGATTATATAAAAAAAAGGGTTAGTGTTCTGAAGGATAATGCAACTTACTTAAAATTCATCACTACATTCAGTTAACATTCATTTAAGAGTTTGAGATGAAGATTTTATAGATCAATTTCAAGGGGATCACAGGAAAAAAAAGTCCAAACGATGTGGTTGTGTGTGAGATGTTAATGGAAGCTTTCAGAATGCTGCAAAGGTGAACCAGAGTGTAACTGTATTAAAAACCAGTTTATGAAACAAATCCTACTGCTGTCCTTCCAATTTCTAATCTTTATACAACGTAGGAGGCAATGTGGAACGGTGGAAGGATCTGGAGTCTGTGCACCTGCATTAGGATCTTCCCTCTGATGCTTACTAGGTAGGTGACAAAGGCAAGTCACTTTGCTTCTTGGGGCCTCAACTGCAAAAAGAGAGTTTTCTTAACTGTAAAATGAGAGGGTTAGATTTAGAGGCATCTGAGGTCTCTTCGAGCTCCAGATCTATGATCTTAAGCTAACATAAACGTATTGGAAGTGTTAAGTAAAATTAGATGAGGGACATACCACTTCAAAAGGCAGAGGAAGATTGCATATATCATAGGACATGACTGTTTAGATTCTGGGTAACTGAAAGTAATAATTCTTTTAGAGAAAAATTTAAAATTAATAAGTTGCCAAGAAACCACAATGAAAAGAAAATAACTGGACATACATCATTTTACTTGGAGCAAATATAAGCGTCTTCTGTTTGATTCAGAATTAAATGCAGATAATTGTAGCAAATAGATTTTGTGTATGTCATCAGATCTTTAAATCACCACCTTTACAGATTGGAAAGTATTGGCATTTTCTGTTCAATAATTATTATTATTCTGAGACTGTTGAATCAGTTGCTACGTCTGAGCTCCACCTTGAGGATTTGGATGAGTGTTCAGGTATATGTCCAACAGTTTTACATGTCTAGCTGGTTTTTATTGGGTTAAAATGTTCTTAATATGCCAATATCATATTAAGCTGTAGATTTTCTGAGATGGATTTGTCTATATTCACTTACCAGTTCTATTTTGCTGGTCCTCCAGAAAAAGGGGAGATCTGAGAATTGCATAAACATTCCTTTCAAGTTCACAATCACGATGGCCGATAGCACCGCCTGAAACATACCACGACCATGCATTCCCCTTTTCTGATGTCCAGGGCACACAGCTTTGGCATCATCACTTTTCCCTCATGCTGCTCATCCCCATTCCCATTTCCATCTCATTTCCCACACACTGATGAGAGATTTTCAGTTTGTTAGCTAATCTAGACTTGGAGGACTGGGCCTGCATTCCAACAGCAAATGTCCTGCACATGCACAAAACTCCAAGACAAATCCAAGATACATACCTGGGGCAATGATTCGAAGAGAAAGCCAATGGCCAATATAACCAACAGAATCAATAAAGAGGCTAAGCAACCTGCAAGCTGAATAAGACAAAATGTACTGAAGGGGTTTCTAGAAAAGCAGGCCAGTAGGTGGGGTCTCATTTGTCTGATACTTTGAAAATTACTGGTAAAGATATGAAACAAGTATGGATTTAGAAGCCACCCAAACCATCACCTAGCCCCATTGCCCCCTCCCCCTGTCTAAAATTTTCAGTTGCTCTTATGGGTCTTGGTTACACATAGAGATGCTCAAATACCCTGACCATTTCAAATACCCTTGCCCGAAGTGGGTGACAGGAAGCTGAAAGCCCATCCTCATGAGATGTCCGGTGCAGGCCTGGAGACACATGAGAGGTTGGGATAGTTTGGATGGGTGTTAGAGCTGCTGACATCCCTCCCATACTTAGTCACTGCCTGCAAGGATAAGTTTTCATCACAGCACATGACAGTTTCCCACGTCTGAAGTTTTGGGTGCACAGGTGCTAGAATCAGAGTATTGTACAAACATCTAATTTAGTTGAGGGCAGTAGCTCCTCTTTACAGATCTAGCTTTCTGTAGTTCAGTTCAGTTCAACTAATTACACCTTTCTCTGCAGAGCTATATAATTTACTGTAAACTCCCTAAATCCCTTCTCCCCAAAAAGTTGATTAGAGATGTAGAACTCCATGGAGCACCCATTGGCTCTGCTCTGCATGCAGAGTAGCTTTCCTGGGGCTCAGGAGAGAGCCGAGAGGTTAAAATGTATGATTACCACCCCACTTACGTCTCCCTAAAGTCCATCTGCATACACACCTGCGTGTTTCCTCCAGTACTCTCTTGAACAAGACTCCGAGACAAGGAACATGAAATGGAGAAAGTTTGGAAAAGTGATCCAATGGTATTGCATATGCCTAGAGCGATGAGTTCCTTTTTCATATGAAAACAAAATAAAGAAAACCTAAGCAGTTCTTCAAAAAGACAAATATATTAGCCTGGTCAATAAGCCTCTATCTTATCTCTCAGCTCAGGTACTGTAATTGTTTAGCACAATCTTGGTGAGGCTGAAAAGTAGTGTGAGTCTTTACTCCTGGGTTGGAGGCACATATCACCATTCTGCCCTCTCCCCAACTTTCAAGTTCAAACAGAAGATAATTTCACAAATGATGTTAATTCTTGCAGAAGAGTCCCTGAAGAATGGACACAACTCTCTATTTTAGTAAATGTATACAAAATTGCTTGTTTACTTAAATTCCAACAGCACTATGTACCACTATGACTGTATTCCAAAGTAATATCCTTTGGGTTGCCAGAGGAGTTCTTTTTTAAGGATCACATTAGTAATCTGTATTTTAATAACAGTAACTTTTACATATCTGAATATTCTCATCAAGCACATAGTATGTTGCAATATCCATATTAATACCAGTATTCTGTGATTGTATCTGCCCTTTCATGCAAGAGGCAAATACTTTAACAGCTCTGATACTCAAAAAGTTGAAAACAAGGACAACTAGAGAACTATTTATTTGAAGAGTGAATAGCTAAAAATCAAATACTGCAGAGGTCAATATGAATAAGCTGTACTTCCCTGGTAGAAAGTGAAAAGGTTTTGGGAAAAGCCCATTCAAACTATGACAGCTAGTGACCCCCTTGAGTAAGTTCTGCCATAGTTTGAATGTATTTTTCAAGCTTTCAACATAAAGAAGGAGCATCATATGCAATGGATTCTGCTTAAGTGGTTCCACTTTCCTAATTCTGTCCCTACCTGTGTCTATCTAAGTCTATGCTTTGGAGTCTAATCTGATGAAATGAGGTTATTAGTAACAACTAATTCACAGATGTGATTAAAGCTAGAAGTAGAACAGAAATTCCAGTATTGCCTAAATATCTGCTGCTGATTGTTAAACATTAATTATAGGGTGAAAGCAAGAAGACTGCTTTTCTATCCAATCTTTGGATCAAAATATTTTAAAAGTCCATCAAGCTTTGTAGTTGAATCCAATAAAACATCTCATTGCATTTTTGTGAACAGTTCTATAAAAATGTTATAATTTTACCTGATTCCCATCAACCTGGTAGCCGTGTTTAACTGCAAAGATTTTGGCCATTGAGATGGTCACTGAAAATCCAACAATTGCAATGGCAATAGCATCAACATAGACAAGATGGAAGAGGCTGGAATCTGGAGTAGCTGGAGCTAATAACCTGAAAAGGGGAATTTACTTTACTATAGATGTGATAATATGGTGGGAAGCCCTCTGAACAGAGAGTAGCACTATTCTTTAGGGTTTTAATTTCTTTTGAGATTTTAAAATTTCTTTTCTCTTGGTTCTAGCATGGCCATTTTATTGTTAAAGAAGCCTTTTCTTTTAGTGTAGAATTTAGCTGACACCTCTAAAAATTTAACCCAAGTAATTAACTGGTTAGGGATAGAAGAATTTCTGGCTTAGTTTTATTAATTTTATGTTCTCACAATGAACACTGGCTAGTTGTAAGTTCTAGAGCAGATTTCCTAATGTTTGTTAATCAATTTACAAATTGACCTGATATAAAATTTTCTCTTCTGTTGTCTTATATATGCAAATCTCTTTCATCTCCATTTGCTTGCCATAAAATTTACAAATTTACCTTTGAAATGTAAATGTTTACTTTTCTTTCTGGTGTTGTAAAATACCAATTACATTCTTCTTGCTGATAAAACTAAAGAACATATAACAAACTCTGGAAATTCAATTCAGAGTTTGGTGGTCATTTAGACACCATGAGCTTATGCTCCAAGTATATATTAAATTGTAAAACAGTTATTAAAACTATGATTGGCAGCAGTATCTATCAACAGATCCATGAATATTTCCATCACATAAATGAAATCTTCAAGTTGAAGTACACTGTTAATCTAGTTTTGCAGAAAGAAGGATCGATATTCCTTACCAAGTGTGAAAAGAGGTTCTTTCTATGCAAAACCCAGTTACATTAGAAATGCTAATTTAGTGGTTTATGTCACTCCAAAGTAGATACCATGCCACTGTCCTGACTCAAGGTAGAAAATGAAAGCTACCACAACTGGGCATTTGTTTTATACATATATATATATATGTATGTATATTATGTATATGTGTGTATATATACACATGCTATATATGTGTGTGTATATGTGTATATATGTGCATATATATGTGCATGTATACATATATGGATATATATGTATACACACACATGTACGTATATATGTGAGTAGGAAAACAACAGCTGCTGGCCAGGGTCCTAAGAAGGACATCAGCATTTCTCTGACTCCATGGCTCCCAGGAAGTTGACCTGTTATACTGTAGTTGTAAAGGTGACTGGGAAGAAAGAAAGAAAGGAGAGGTAGGTGAGTTCTCTTTGTGGCAGAGCACTACAACTTTGTTGGAAGGGATTGGGGGATTTATTGTTCCTATTTGGCTTTCCTTGAGTGTCTATGTTTGTGTTTTTTTGTGATATACGTGTCTCTGGGGAAGTCTTTTGTGCCAAGTTGGGTTGCAAGCTGTGGAGGATCTTGGGAACTCCAGACACTAAAGAATACAGTGATGATGACTGCCATTAAATCAGTGACAGCTGAATCCCTGCCAACATTTTATGAGCCCTTCTTTCAAGTTTGTCTGTGTCAGGGACATTAAGACCATTGTAGTCAGAGGTCTGAGGACTCTGACCATGAGTAAGACGGAAATTGGGCAACAAAAACATCATTTCTACATCCCATATACCTCAGGGTATCCTTGTACGGCATCAAACAGCTGGGGATGAATGAGATTGCCAGATACTAAGGGACCACTGGAATTTAACAGCAAAGAAAGTGTACTGCTGTATATTTCAGAGACTTTTTCTCAGAAGAAAAAAAAAGATACAATAGAATAATGGGCTCTGTGCATTAAGTGAGAAGAAAATAAGGTAACAAATGCGTAGAAAAGTGGTAGATAATAGATAATAGATAATTTTAGGGAATTATATAGATCTAAAACCCATAACATGGAATTTCTCCTTAAGTGAAAGTGTACTATATTCAAATCAAGCTACTTAAAATATAAGAAAGAAATGATCTGTAACTGTGTTGTGAGTGTATATTAGTAGGCAATAGTGTAGATTAACAATACTTTCATTGATCATTCCAGCTCAAAATAAAAACATATATTCCCTACCCCAGCGGGAGTGATCCAACAACATCCACTTTGTAGGATTCTTCTAAATTAAATCCTGCTGAAATGCCAGTTCCTATTATCACCTAAAAATGTAACAAATTCAAGTTTACCTTCAAAGTTAAAAATACAGAGCTGCAGAAACAAACCCCCAAAACTTGTGACTGACCAATTCTCATTCATAATACTTACTCTTACAAGAATAAATATAGCTAAGCCATTGTACCTTCTAATTTTTTTAATATAAATAAATAAGATTCACTTTACTGTTTTTACATATAATAGTAACCTTTGTTTAAAAAAAAATTCTCACTCTATATTATGGTGTGTGACTGCTTGGTTCCATTAAAGCAATCAAGCAAAGAGAAGCAAGCAAAATTGATTAAAAATGCCTATGTGTGCCAGGTACCGTGCAAGATGCTGAAGATACAAAGATGAAAACAATCCCTACTTTTGAAGTGCTTACATTTTATCAGGGGAAATTACACATATAAACCTCACAGATAGAAGAAAAGCCAGAATATACCCAAAGTAAGGTGAGAGGGGTACTCTCCCTGAGCCAGTTCTTTTCCAGAAACAAGGTATCATGTGAAGCAAATAAAGTGAAGCTCTAACCAGGGAACTCTAGGTACCAGCCACGAAAATCAGTGAACTGCAGCACAGGAGGAGGGCTCACTCTCACCACAATTGGTAAGAAGGAGCCCTTCAGTGCTACAATTTCCTGTCCATAGACTGTTGAGTTCTATGTCTCACCTAACACTAGTTATTAGAGGAAAGGACTGAGGGGAAAGAGGGATGCTATTAGAAGTCTTTGCATCAGCAGACTACACCCATCTTCTCTCCACCTTCAGCCACAGAGGCAGGATTGGAAGTGGAATTCTGTGAGCACTTAAAATATGCTTGACGTAGGCCACAATTTCGCTTAAGTCTTGTTCTAATGCCAACAAATCTGTATTTTCCATAACAGAACACTGTTTATCATAGAATTGCTAAATGTTGAGGGTCACTCTTGGTGAGGGGCAAGGAAGAAAATAAAAAGAGAGAGAAGTTGACAACATATCCCACATCAAGACAACATAGACACTGATGCTTGATGACTTCTATATAAAATTTTAAATGTGAATGCAGGACAAATAGAGTCAAATGCATTGAACATGGCCATTTCTTTAAAACTAACTTGCTGACATGTATGAAAAGAAGCAGAACGAAGTAAGCAGGACCAAGAAAATAATATAAGTAATGACTACAAGAATGTAAATCAAAAGAGCAGCAAAAGGCAGATGAACTCTGATTAGTTTCAATAACTAACCCAAGTTCCAGAGAAAAGATCGTGAAACATATCTATATTCTTCCTATATTAGAGGCACCACATATCATCTCTGTAGACAGTTGGTTTTGTTTAAGCATTTTTCTGTGTTACAAGGGAGGGTTCAATGTGGTGAAGGGATATATCAGAAAATGACTTTTTAACATTAAAACAAAATGCATCAAAAGCAAACCCAAATAATTAATTGAATGGGAAAAATACCAACAACTTTGCATCAGATTTCTCAAATAAGGGTTTGTATCCAAGATATACATAGGACCAAAAGCCCATTCCCCAATAGATAAATAGTCAAATGATATGAACAAACAATTCTCAAAAGATGGCAAACTATTAACAACAATATTGCTAATACAAAACATTTATTAAAAAACACACCCAGAAAGTTAGGTAAAAAATTGAGCAATGATGACAAAGGATGAGAATAGTCAGCGTAGAAGGTGTTGTAAGATGAGTATATTAAAGCATTGTTGAGAATCCTCTCTTATGTTCTGCTGTGCACATGGCATTGCTTTTTTTTCTTTTCTTATTTTGTATTTAAATTTATAATGTTTCTTTTTCTTTTCTTATTGTGTATTTAACTTAAATTTTTTTTTTTTAAAAAGCACTGTTGATGGAGCTGTGAATTAGTACAATCCTTCTGGAAAGCAATATGGAATTATAAAAATAAAGTAGCTAAAATTTCCATACCCAGAGATTCCACTGCCAGGCATTTAAGAAGATCATTGTTAAAAATAAAGTTTCCATATATACCAAAACATTTATAGCAGCACTTTTTGTGGTGGCAAATTAATGGAAACAAAGCAGATGTACATTGATTGGATAATGGTTAAATGAATCCTGGTATATGATTATAATGGAATATTACTGTGCTGTAAGAAATGACAAATATGATGAATACAGAGAAGTATGGAAGGCTTACATGCCCTGATGCAAAATGAAATAATCTGAGCCTGAGAAACAATACACATAATGTCCACAACAATAGAAATAGAAAGAACAATTACACCATGAAACAAACAAAAGTGAATGTTGCAAAAGTACAAAGAACAAGGTTGGCCCCAAAGAAAAGATAAGAGAGAACACCTCCTTCTACTCCTTTGAAGAGGTGGTGGAGGGTATACAGGTGTGGAACATTGCATACATTGCCATTTTTTTTATGTATTCATATGTTTTGCTGATTTTTTCTTCTTATCACCCTTTTCAAAAAATTCTTTGTTATAGGGATGGCTCTTTGAAAAGGAGCAAGAGGGATAGTAGAGGAAATTTAGGCAATGTAAAAACAAAACATATCAACAAAAATTTATTTTGAAGAGAAATTTGACTTACTGCAACAATCTCTAAAGGAATAGGTGCGGGCAATTTGTTTTTAAATCTTTCATTAAACTCCTTGCCACCCAGCAGCAAAGCAAAACACATCGACCCAACGATGAGGGAACATATGTTGAGTTTTTTGACATTTGCTATCACAGCAAGAGTACTCTGTAAGACATTGAATGTTTATCATCAAGAAAAAGTCCACATGAGGGTAATTATCAATAGCCACAAATTCTGCCACTGAAATAATTCATAAATGTAAACCAAAACATGTTGATATTAATTCTCAGGAAGAAGGGTATCCTAAGACTATCACATAGAACCATAAGACCTTATAGTTTGGATGGATGAACTTGAATTCACTCAGTCCAACTTTCGCTCTAGTTTTGGACTCTCTTGGGTAAAGAAGTGTCAGCTCAAACTGGCTTTTGAGAATCAAATATTAAATTTTCATGTGAACGTTTATACCTCAGAAAACAGCAAATGCTACAAATCCGGGTTTGCTTTACTGTTCTGTTGTCTAGACTTAATAAAATGATGGAGAAAATGTTAATAATGTAGGTTACACTTTAAAACTGTGTTGTGCATGCATTCCCCCTGGCCCTCCCACCCCAGAGATCCAGTTGTTAAATATTTACCAGCACATGCCTGATTGATAGCTTCTGTTTGAATACTTTCAGTAACAGGGAGTTCCATACCTCGGGATGATCAATTCAATAAATAGTTCTAATTGTTAGAAATTTTTTATGATGCAAAAAAATGTGCCTCATGGCACATACTACCTACTGATGAGCATCCCCCAAATCTCATAATCATTACATTGCATTGTTGGGAAGGTTCTTTAAAATGTTTAGTTTATCTTACAAAGCTGCTTAATCCACTGCTCAGAGGTAGTGTAGTGTCCTCAGAAGCAGTAGAAAATGAGTTGTCCTTAGGGTTGAAATGAAATATATATTATATATTTGTAAGACTGTAAGTGTTACTGTGTATCTTACAATGTTGCAAATATATTACAGTGTTCATTACAACACTATATAATATATATTTCATTTAAACACTAAATTATATTTGAAATAATATAATATAGTGTTAAAAGAAAATGCCCAGAGCCTAAAGATGGAGTGTTATTTTACAAAGCTGCTTAATCCATTTAATCCAATACAACACATATGTAGTGTTGAAATGAAATATATATTATAATTATATGTAGTATTGTCCTTAGTGTTAAGAAACAGAGGATATGTATAGAATTGAAAGGCTTCTACATGGACAAAATAAATGCAATTAGAATGAAAATAGAAACAATTTGGGAAAAAATCTTCGCAAAAAATTTCTTTGATAAAGGGGTCTAATGACCAAGTTATATAAATTTATATGAAGAATTTATACAATATATAATATTAAAACATTTTATAACAAAGTGAAATAATAGATAAGTTGAAAACATATGAAAAAAGAATTCTCAAATAAAGAATTTTAAGCTATCAAAAACTGCATAAAATGCTTTGAGTCATTAAAACAAGAGAAATGCAAATCTAAATAACATTGAGGTTCCATTTTGTACCTATCACATTAGAAAAGATGAGAAAAAAATGAAAATAGAAATTACTGGGTTGTAAAAGGACAGTGAATTATGGCAAACAATTTGGAATCATATTAAAAAAGTCACTAAATTATATATTCTCTTTGAGCAAGAGACATACTATTAGGCATGTACTCTACGGAGGTCATAGACAGAGGGAAAGGACTTATATGTACAAAAATATTTATAAAAGTACTTTTTTATTGTGGTTAAAAAAAACAAACCTAGAGAGAAAATAAGTACATGTCAAGGGGAGAATTGTGAAAAAAAATGTGGTCTATTAATGCAATGAAAATTTATTGGACCTTCAGAAATGTGGAATATGACAAATTCAAAGAAATATAGAAAAGACTTGAATGAACTGATGCAGAAAAAGTGAGCAGAACCAGAAAAAAATAATTTGCATGATGACTAATACTAACGTGAAGGAAAACAAATCTGAAAGACCTTAGAATTCTGATTAAAACACTGACCTCAAAAGCCTGATGATGAAGCATATCTTCTACCTTTTGGTAGAGGGATGATGGATATATGCAATATCACACAAGGTCAATAGGTTGATTTATTTTGTTCCATTATATGTATTTATTATAAAGGAAAGCTAGGTGGAAGGCAGGCAATGATAGATGAAGAAGAAAAATACATCAATAAATAATTTAAAAAGCTACAGAGAAGGAAGTGTGGGTAGGTGTTGAAGGAATAAAAAATGTATAATTTTTTATTACCTGGAGAAGTATACATATATATTATATATATTACATATATATGCATATATATGTCTGTGCATAATACATAGTACACACACACACACACACATATATATAAACCTCTTCCATATAAAGTGGTTTTATAATTATATGTATAAGTATATCCCCTTATATCTCATTTGTTGCCAAAGATTGTTGATTTCACCTTTTCAACAGCTTTCCAATATATATCCCCTTCCCTCCTCTGACAATGTCATGTCTCTGGTGCCAGCCCTTATCACCTGATGCCTGGATTACTGCAATAACCTGCTAGTGTATCTGCCTGCCTCAGTTTCTCCCCACTCCAATCCATCCTCCATCCAGCCAACAGTGATTTTCCTAAAGTGCAGGTCTGGCAATATCACTCCCCTACTCAGTAAACTCCAGTGACTCCCTATTGCCTTCAGGATCAAATACAAAATCCTCTTTTTGACATACAAAGCCCTTCATGACCTAGCCCCTTTCTATCCTTCCAGTCTTTTTATACCTCATTCCCACCATGTACTCTGATTCAGTGACACTGGTCTGCTTGATGTTTCTCAAATAAGACACTCCATCTTTAGGCATGGGGGGACAGCCAAAGAAAATGCCCAGAGCGCAAGACATCCTTGAGGATAATTACAGTCTTCTGTCATTTAAAGCCCTTCATAACATACCACCTAATGACTTTCCTGGCTTCTTTTAAGTCCCAATTAAAATTCCATCTTTTACAGGAAGCCTCCCCAAACTTTCTTAATTCTAGTGCCTTCTCTCTTTTAATTATTTCCTATTTATCCTGTACATAGTTGTTTGTATGTTATCGCCCCCATTAAATCATGAGCTCCCTGAGGGCAAGACTGTCTTTTGCCTTTTTTTATATCCCCAGCCCTTAGCAAAGTTCTGTATATATAATATTTAATAAATGTTTAGTGATTAATTGATATATAGGTATGTATGTATATGTATTATATACAATGTAGATTATATATATTCACTTTATATGGCAGAAGTTTGCATCTTGAGATGTTTGTGATTATTGATGACTGAATTAAGAAAAAACATAAAAGAAGAATGATTAACAGAAGTACAGAGACTGGGAAAGAAGTCGTATTCAAAGTTGGCAGCTGAGAAAGAAGTTATGGAGCTCTAAGATCACCTAAAGCTCTGAGATTTAGAGGGCTGAGTATAAAGCTTGGATATGGAAATTAGAAAACTGAGAGAAAGAAGTCCAATGTCTCTAAGATCCTGAATACAGGGAAAAATAGGAAAAAAGTTAGTAATGAGAATAATTAAGAGTTAGCGGGAAAAAAAGTAGCTGATTATATTCTAGAGTTTATTTGTTTTAACAGTAGGTTCCAAAAGTACTATCAGCTTTGTTAATTAACATTTACTTAATATTTGCTATTTTATTCACATCTAAAACATTTAAGGTCTTTCCCAGGTTTCAGTTTGAATGAGGACATGCCCATTCCATGACTAAGGGCTAGATGAGAGTTGAGGGAAAAGATGGCTTAATTTATCACCACAAAGATATCAATCTGGGAAGGGAAGACCTTCAGAGTTTCTGGCCAGGAATAGAAAACAGGTGCTATTTACACTCCTTCTAATCTGTCTAAACCCAAACAATGAACCTTGGAGGATTGAGTTGAGGGTATTATTGGCCATTCAATGAAAGCTAGAGTGATTTGAGTTTTAAGATGCCTGTCGAATGCATCACTCCTGAAAGTAGAATAACAAGGGCGTGAAGGGCCATTTACATACCTCCTTGATCCTCTACCCCTGCTATGTATGTCTACTATAGTATTTTATTATTCTTATCTCTGGCCCTCCTGAGTGTGGCAATGAATTCTTTCTGAAACCCAGAACTGTTCCAAAGCTCATCTGGAGAGAAGAGAAATCCAGCCTAGGAGAGACGATTCAAGGCCTTGACCTCCTTAAAACCTAAGTTGGGAGGAACCTTGGGTAAGTGATTCCAGCCTCCTCATTTTATAGATGAATACAGTGAGGCCCAAGAGATTAAGCGACTTTATTACATAGTATCAAAAGCTAACAAATGTCTGAGGTGAGAGGGGAAGGTCTCAATAGGTTCTAGACTGTAGTTTAGTCCTCTCTGAAATAAACTGGGAGATTATTATAAGATCCTCTACTTAAAAAATAAAAATAAAAAAATAATCAAATTAAATCAATAATCAATAAATTAAAAAAATTAAATTAATCAATAAAAAGTAATCAATCAAATAAAATCAAACTGAGAGCTCCCAGAATAAACAAAATACGATATCTGTCACTTACTTTTCTAATAAAAATCTAAGGCTCTCCTATGGCAAAATATTTGGATAAAAACTGAATATTGAATCAGTATATGATTCCAAACATCTAGAAGTCAGAACTACCATAAATATTTAACATCATATAGATGAAGCATCTGGATGACTGAGTCTCTTGATTTTTATTTTGAGGTTTTAGAATGCAGATTCAGTCTGAAATACATTTAGCTTCAGATAAGATATCCTGTATATATCCTGGGTAAATTATTCATTGTTTAAATTAAATTCTTTTTAATGTTGTATTTTTAGGTCTTAGAAATCTCTGAGGCTACTAAATAAACAAGCCCCATGAGCATTAAAGATTATACATTAATAATACACATACACTTACAAATGAAAATTTTCTTTTAAATTAAGTCTTAGGGGACACAAAGTTCTCCTTGTTTCCTGGGAAATAAGCATGGCAAAACAAATTCACAAGTAGGCATTCATCTAACTTATATTCCATTCAGAAAAAAAGTGAAAAAAATACTGGGGATAAGACAGTAATGAATTTAAGATGCTACTAGTAAATAAATTGATGCTGGGAGCTGACATGATGACAAAGCCCCATTAATTATTTTCCTAAAAGCACAAGGGCAATTAGTCCTAGATAGTCTTTGTAATGAGACTGCCTATTCCTCAGGATTTAAGCATTTTTTTTGTCCTTAAAATTCTTTTGAACACCATTACATTTAAAATCCTCCAGTACTTTCTTAATAAAATCCAATATTCCCATCTGACAGTTAGTTAAGCAGTGCTAGAAAACTACATTAATTTCTTCAGATGATTAGGGTTCAAAAAATTACTGCCTTGAGCAGTTATCCTAGAGGCCTGAAAAACTTGAGACAGCTTCCAAAGTTAGAAAAACAGATTAAGAACAAAGAAAAGCTGACTCAGCATTATGTTTCATCATGTGTCTTGTTCACATACAACTGAACATTTAAACATATTAAAAGGTTTAGTTCAATCATTTTAATAATACACACAAGATATTGGGGAAATATCTGGCAAGTAAATCAAACTACGGCTAATACACAAAGCTCATTATTTTCATGTGCTAGTATTTTGTAACTGTTCCCTCGCTGAAATGTGGGATTCCTTAAGTACCTTGTTTCACTAGAAAATTTAATTTTTTTACAACCAATGAAATCTGTATTCATTTGTCTCCATAGTGATACTTAAGGACTGAAAATGAATTCACCATCATTTAGTTCTTTTTTTTGTTTCCAGAGTGCTCCTGTATCCTTGTAGTTAGTTGTAGATAGATCCCTGTGGGCTTCATATTGCCTTAGAAAACCACAAACTAACATCACTTTCATTGTATTGTATTTTAATTAACTTTTACTAAACATTTCCCAATTATATTTTAATCTGGTTGGGCCACACTTTTTGATGGGCCAGCAAATTTGTCACTTTTGATCTAATCTAATCCAACTTCTCACCCAACACAAGATAGGTTATAGAAAGGTTTACTTGTTTCTGATTCATTGTAATTTGTGATTAATGCATACATTTACATACTTACTTGGCTATATATGTAACTATTTGTTTTTGAAACACACACATTTACATATATATATACATGTACATATTTCTATTATCTGTATTACGCAGAAATTATATACATTTTTATGTCTCTGTAAATTCTTTGAGGGTAAGGCCCATGTTTTTATCATTGCCCACAATGCCTCATATACTACACACAGGAGCACATATTTGAAAAATCCTGTCAACCAAGTTTAAAGTAAATGACTCATAACAATTTCAATAAAGGCTGCAGAACAGCTTTAATAAATCTCATTTACTCAAAGAAGACTCTTGAACAGCTGCACATTTTAACTTATAGTTCATAAAGAGAAAACACTTTGTAACAACAGCTCTTATAATTTTGGTCTATGAATCAGAATAGTCAGGCTAAAGATGAACCATCAAGCTAAACAGAACTGTGTGCCCCAACTACATACATACTTTCAAGGAATTTTAAAGATACATTTTTTTCTTAATATGCTTTTCTCGGAAAAGCTTTAACAGAATTTTTTTCCTGATTGTAAAAATTCTTAGAAATAAAAAAGAGGAAACGTGAAGGCTGAGATGAATTGAAGCAGCTTACTTACATAGACAACTGAAAAGGGTCCACTGTGTCGCTTTGTCTTCACTCCAAACAGATATTTTAACATGGAAGTGAAGACGTGTACGGCAGCTGCAGTCGTGAAACCACGGACTAAGGGCTCTGTTAGGTATATGGCCACAAATCCAAACCGCAGGACACCCAAGCAAAACTAATTTTTAATGGCAAAGAGAAGCATACCGTTTAACAGATCAGACATTTAAAAATAGTAACAACAATGGCTCACATTCTTATATGTACATAGATATACACAGAAATATAGCTAAGACTGAGATATTTTACGGTTACAAAGCACTCGACAGACGTTATGTCTTTTCATCCTGACAACTCTGTGAAGTAGAGCAAGTGGTATACCCATTTCACAGATAAGGAAATTAAAGCTTAGAGAGATTATGTGCTTTGTCCCCAGTCACATAGAGTCAAAACTCAAACTCAGTTCTTCTGATTGGAGGTCCAGGGCTCAATCACTGAGCTCAGTCACTCAATCAGTATTCCACTGCCTCTCCTAGAGAACGTGATGAAATTCTACCTATTGCAGAGCAGTAACTGAAGTCACGTACTGATTGGGCAATAAGTGCTAGATTATTGTGTGTGATTGTGTGTGTGAATGTATGATATACTCTCTTAAGTATTACCCAAGATTTGTTATTTATGTGCAACCACCTTTTGCATTAGATTGTAAGTTGCTTGGGGGCAAGATTAGTATTGTATTTTGTTCATCCCTAGCACCTAGCTCTGGGACTTGGACATTTCTTTGTCTGGACCTGAGATTTCACTGGTGCAGGGAATTCTTGGCGAGGACTGTCCATCTACCAAGGCATAAAGATAACTGTTTTAAAACATAGTCTAAGAGAACTGCCTAGAGGTACTAAGAAACTAAGTGACTCGCCCGAGATGACAGAGCCAGTATGTGGCAGAGGCTCTGAATATAGGGATTAATTAATATTTATTGAATGAATGGATATGTTATGTGCTGACAGACTTTGCCTCTATCTAGTATAATTAGGACTCAATAGGTTGACATTTTAAATCCAAACCAACTGCTCCATCATTGAGAATTTTACCTGAATGATTCCTGAAAGCAAAGTCACTGACATGGCGACTTTTACTCTCATAGCGTCTCTTTCTTCTGTACCATTAGTTGAATTCGCACCTCCTCCACCTACGTACATGTCATCAGGAACTAATCGGACAGCCACTCCACCAATCATTAGGCTAATCACAGCAAAGGGCCCTAAAGTAATGATGTATCCAGTGGTTAATATAAATTTACTTTCTTTGAGTCCAAGGAAATGGTTTTCAATTCTAATTTCATCTACTTTTAGGTAAAATATATTATTTTATTGCTGTCAAGTAACATCTTTTTTATGTCATGTAGCAGCTATTGTTATTTTAATCACTAGCCTTGTATTTAGAAAAATGCTATGTTTTAGAGACAGAGACAAAGAGAAAGAGAGAGAGAGAAAGAGAGAGATAGAGAAAGGAAAGAGGTAGGATGATAGTTTTTTATTATTCTGAAAACTTTGCCTATCTAGGTTAATATCTTAACCTTGATTATAGAAGGAATATGTATGTGTGTATATATATACATATATATGCACATAGTAGGTGCTTAATAAATGCTTATTGACTGACTGACTCACATAGGGCATATAACATAGAAACACAGAGTGACAGAATCCTAAAGTTCACAGGAGCCTTTCGGTGGACGTGGACTCTTGTCTAATCTCTCTTTGGTGGATGAAACTAGTAATGATTTTATACCTTCATAGTAATTAAGAGCTATTGCTTATCATTGTGGTTTTAATTTTTAAATTTATATACATGAAAACTTTGTATTATGAAATTAAACTTTTATTTTATTTTACATATTTCAACAAATAGCCCTCTTACATGACAAAATTAACTTTGATTTTTTCAAAGACAGTGAGAATACTTGGTTGAATTTTGAGACCATATGAAAGTTTCCACAAAAAGTACTGTACTGGACTTGCTGAGTATTTAATAATAGAGGTATACAATTAAGAATTAACAATAATCTTATTGATGATGTGGCATACTATGGTGCTTATAAAGTAGAAAATAAAATTTCTCAATAATCAAATGTAAACTTTTACCTATGGAAACGTGTCTGGAAGTTCCAAAAAAACAATACAGGATAACAGGATAAAATGAAGAATACAGGCCAAATACTGGAGGCACAGCTGCCAACATTGCAAAAGCTAAACCTAAGGGATGCAAAAAAAAAAAGGAAAAAAAAGAAAAGAAAGAGAAACATTCATAAAATATAGTGGATGCAATCACATTTAAAGATTCTTTATCCCCAGTGAAATAACTGTAGCTGTAAGTAATCAGAAAATCCAAGTCTTAAAATTCTAAAAAGTTCATGAGTTTAAAAAAATCTCTATATGAACAATTAAAACATAAAAACAAAACAAAACCTGAATACTTTAAGGGATGATTATTTGTTTTTTTAAAAGAACTCCTTATATTATTCTTTTGAACAATGAAGTCCTCTAGTCTATTTTAATTTATTCAACTTGCAAAGAAAAAAAATTTAACACAACTTTTTAACAAGATATCTGTTTTGTAAAGTGAGTTTCCCTTGTACAATTTAGGCCTTGAAGACAGTTGTCAAGATGATTAAAATAATTAGGCCAATGCTCTGTCAAATACCAAAAGATTTTAGTTCTCAAGAAGAAAAAAATTCTTAGGAAAAAAAAAGTAACATATTCCCAGCTATATTTCACATACAGAAATAATTTGTTCCTTTATTTACATTAATGTTGGAATTCATACACACAATCTCAAAATTAGCATTTAAGAAACCAACACACATGGAGAAGAATCCACTGCGTGACATTCCTTATATTATATAAGTGGCCATACAGAGTATGCTCATCTCTAAGTGAGGGGAAGCCACTTAATTCCAGAAGCACCCCACAATACTTTACAATAGCTTCAATTGTTAGAAAGATTTTCCTTACATCAGGCCCAAGTCTCTTTCTTTATAACTTTTATCCATTATTCCTCCTGGCTAAATATTGCTAATTAATTCAAACGATTCTCATAGATAATGATCTCAAAGTCCTTTAATATGTTGGTTACCCTCCTCTGGATACTCTCCAGGTCATCAACATCCCTGGTAAAAAGTGGCAGTCTGAATTGAACATCATACACCAGATGTGGTTTGACCAGAGTAGAAGAGAGCAGTACCATCAAACCCTAGTCAACTCCAATGCAACCTAAGATCGCATTAGTTTTTTATTTTTTTGGCTGCTGTTTCACGTTGATCTTGTAGTTCATTAAAAATTTCAAATTGTGTGTGTGTGTGTGTGTATGTGCATGCATACACATGGGACAAGCCCTCCCCTATCTTGTGCATTTGATTTTTTTTTAACCCAAGCATAAGACTTTAAATTTTTCCCTATTAAATTTCATTTTAAGTTCAATCTAATGTGCTAGTCCATCAGGATTTTTTTTGGGGGGATAACGACTTTATCAACCAATGTGTTAATTATTCTTCCTAGTTTTATATTGTTTTCAAATTCAATAAGCATGCTATTTGTGCCATTATGCAAGACAGTGATAAAAAAAACATTGAATGACACAGGGCCAAGTACCTTGCCTCGGAGTATTGCAATAGACACTTCTTTCCAAATAAACATTAAGCTGATATTGAACTTAGCTATTTGGTCAGTTCTAATTCCACCTCACTGTACTATTTCCTACAGTCCTCCATCTTGTCCATAAGAGTAATATGAGACACTTTGTTAAATGCTTTGTAAAACTTAAACAAACTATATCTACAGCATTCTTAAGATCAACCAGGTTTAATTACCTTGTCAAAAAAGGAAATGAGGATAGTTTGATATGATTGGTCTATTTTTCATTAAGTGACCTGGCTCTTTGTTATCACTCCATTCTTTGAGATTCACCATGTACAACTTCAGTAATATGTTCTAGAACTTTTCCAGGAATCAAAATGGAGTTCACTAATCTAGTTTGCAGACTCCATTCAATTCATACTTTTCTTTTTTTGAAAATTGGGTCATGTGCCCTCCTCCCGGCTTAGCATTCACACCTGCTAATACTTTGTTACTCTGAGATGTAGTTTATCTGGGCCTGGTGCTGCCTAAGGAAGGCTACATGTATTTTCCCTATTTTTCCATTTATCTTAGGTTTCAACTTCCTTTCAGTAATTTTTGTTCTGATGTTTGAAGTTGAAAGGAATTCTTATTGGCAGAGAAAAAAGCTAAGAGTCGAGCAATTATACTTTCTCTTTGTTGTATGTTATCATTGTATTATATTCTATACCATCTCTGGCCCTCTTTTTCCCCAATGTAACTTTAAAAAAACCATCTCTTTTCGTGTCTTTAGCACATCTCACCAGCTTCTGCTCATTCTGGGTTTTAACACTGCTGACAATATATTTCCAGGACTATCCCACAGATTTGTATTCATCCTACGTTACTTTCCTTTGCTTCCATCTTCTGTAGATCCCTTTTAAAAATCTAGATGTACATTAAACTCTTAGACAGTTCTGTCTTTTATTCTTTGGAATTATCTCTCTTTGTATTCAGCATTTTATTCTTGAGAGCTTCCTACTACTCTAAAGCTGATTTCTGGAGAATTTTATGCCATGAAATTCTACTTAATCCTTTTTTGAACCCTTGGAAATTTCTCAAGGTTTCTGGTGAAGATGGCTATGTGAAAGGGGCAAAGCAGTCCAACTCTCCTGCGTTTCTCCAGCAATGATTTAGAAACAGATTGAACAATAACCAAAAATTCTAAAGAGAACTTCAATAAGTTTCTTCATCCAGACCAAGTCTGAACAGAAAAAATAACTAGAAGCCATGGACATGGATGCCAAAGAAGCCAGGAGGGTATAGGCTGGAAGCTATAGTGTCCTGAGGAGAAAAACCCCTGCAGGGGGCAGCAGACCATAGTGGTGTCATGACAAAGGATACTAGAAGCAAAACACCCTGACCTTTAGGAAAGCCCCAGGAGGAGTAGTAGACTATAGCAATGCAATGACCAGAGAAACCCCAGGGGGCACCCTGATTGATAAAACACCACCAGGGATGGAGAAGAAGCAGTAGTCCATGAGTAGCATGCTGACTAGGGACAATTAATCACAAAACTGGTGGGAACAATGCCAGAACTTTGAGTCCAGACACAGGAAGGGAAGTGGAAGTCAGCAGCAGCAATCTGAAAAGTGGAGGCAGAATTTAACAGGATCCAACTACCCCACCATTCCAGAGTGTAGCAGGGGGTCAAGCCTGAGCCTGACAAAAATGACAAACTAGGAACTGACACTGGAGATATGAGTAGACAGAAGATACCAAATGCTATGAAGAAATAGTATAGGTCAAGAGTTGGCCAAAAGAGAAACTCAGAGGAAAGTAATTTCACAACAACCACAGGTTGAAACTCAAAGAAAACAATGGCTTAGTGTCAGGGACTACATACCTAGAATACCTAGAAGAAATGAAGAAAGATAACTGAAGAGCGAGCTCTGGAAGAAGGAAAATAGGATACGGAAAGTATGGGACTCCATACAAATGAGAATGACTCAATGACTTCATGAGGTAACAAAAAATATTGGGAAAAAAATTAAAAGTTTGAAAAAATAAGAGAGAATATGAGATATGTACTGTAAAAGATACTTGACTCGGAAAATAGAACAAGGAGGGGTAGCTTAAGAATTATTGAACTATCTGAAAACCATTACCAAAAACAAAGCCTATACAACATGTTTTTAGAAATCATAAATTAACACTGCCAAGATTTATTAGGACTAGATGGCAAAGTCAAGATAGAAAGAATCTACCAATCATCTCCAGAAAAAAGGTCACAGTGAAAATTCTCAAAAATTTTCTTGCCAAAATCCAGAACTTTCAGGTCAAAAGAAAAAAGAAAGCAAACAGTCAGAAAGAAAGAGTTCAAGTACCGAGGAACAATATTTAAGATCATACAACAGTGGTGTAAAACTCAAAGAGAAATGGAAGCCATTAATTTGTGCAATAAGATCCCTATGGGCCACATATTTAGTTTTAAAATGTAATAACATCTATGTTTTATTGTATTTTTATTTATTTTGCTAAATATTTCCCAATTACATTTCAATTTGGTTTACGCGATAGGAAGGAGTGCTTCAGGCTGCGTCCACATCGTTGACACCTTTGTCATACAATATCCAGTAGCTATTACTATAAAAGAGAGAAAATTTTGGAATACACTATTCCAAAAGATAAAAGGTAAAAAAGTAACAACCAAGACTAACTTGCCTTAGAAGACTGAATGTTATGTTACAGGAAAAAAATGGACCTTTAAAGAAAAGAGGGCTTTCAAGCTTTCCTGATGGAAAAAAAAAAAAACAAGAACAAAAACAAAAAAAACCTGAGATAATTAAAAACTCTAAAATACAAACACAAGAGTCCAGAGAAACCTAGAAAGCTAAATACACTTGAACTATTGGCAGGGCCTACATGATGATGAAGTTTTTACATTTTACATTCTAACAGAGGGGAAAGAGACAGGTATCTCATGAGAATCCTAACATAACTTCAAGAATCACATACGTTATTAAACAAGAGAAAAAGAGGGATTGAAGATGGTTTTATTCTGTTTTAATGGTCTTAATAAGGCAAGAATAGGTAAGGAAAAAAATAATACCTTAGGGAAGAAATGAATAAGAACAACTCTTTTTTTTTTATCATTGGGGTACATGAGAAGCTATAAAAATGGAAGATGGGGAAAGGGGTGTGGGGCATCACATGAATCTTACTCTCATTTCAACTGTACAAAGGAGAATTGAAATATAAAAGAATCAAAACAAACCTAGGAAGGTAAATTTATTTGAGCCTAGGCTCAAATAAGGAGGAACTATATGATGATGCAGTGACAACAGTGTAACAGGGGAAATAGAAATGTGTCCCTTCAGAACCTTAATGTATATTCGAAGGATATTGAAGGAGTTAAGAAAAACAGAGATATTGGGGTAGAGTTGGCTCTGTTGTGAGGGAAGAGGGGAAAAAGAAAGGAGAATAAAAAGAGGAATACACCAGTATAGAGGGGAAGAAGTAAGAAGCTTGTTATTTCTCATAACTGGGGGATGTGAAAAGACTATATAAACAGGAAGGAAGGGGTGGGGGAAAAGGCATCACATGAATTTCATTCTTATATGAAAGAGACAAAGGATGGTTGAACACACACACACACACACACACACAATACGGTGTAGAAATCCATTAAATGAAACAGGAAAACAAGTAATGATAAAGAGAGGCAAGGTTAAATGGAAGAATAATACTAAGGGGGAAATAGTTAAAAGTAAAACAAACTTCCTTATAATTAAAGGGGGGATAAAACAAAGAAAAGTAAAGAACTAGAACATAAGGGAATGTCTTAAATTGTCTTGTCTGGGACCTGTTGTTGGCCAATCAGTGAGAGCCAGAATGATTTGAGTTTAAGGCATGGTCCTTAAGAAAGAAATCTAGCCTGTAAACCCTAAGATATCTTGTGACATTTCGAGAAGGGAAGGGAAGGGGACCACGACATCATGGAGGTGATGACCATGACATGCAAGTGAATTGGATTTAAGTGAGGGAGGGTTATGCAAAGTCACCAGCTTCACTTTCTCCTCTAGAACCATCTAGACAGCTGGGGGATGGTTGAACAAATTGTGGTATAATGTATATTAATATAATCATATATTATTGCACTGGAAGAAATAGTAATTTCAGAAAACATGATTTCAGAAAATCCTGGTATTCATGAACTGGTGCGCAGTGAAGTGAGAAAAACCTGGAAAAGAATGTATTCAGGGAAAAGGAAGACATATTTAAAGACTTAGGAACTCTTGTGAACTGATCCAACCATTTTGGAGAGCAATGGAGCAATGGAGAACCATGCCCAAAGGGCATATAAAGGGCTATAAAAATGTGCATACTCTTTGACCCAGCAATAGCACTTCCAGGGCTGTATCCTGAAGAGATCATAAAAAATGTACAAAACATGTACAAAAATATCTCTTTCTGTTGTGACAAAAAATTGGAAACTGAAGGGATGGCCATCAATTGGGGAATGACTGAACAAGTCATGGTCTATGAATGTAAAGAAACACTATTGTGCTATAAGAAATGATGAGCAGGTAGACTTCAGAAAAACCTGGAAAGACTTGTATGGACTGATGCTGAGTGAAGTGAGCAGAACCAGGAGAACGTTGTACACAATAGCAGTCACGTTGTGCGATGACTAACTTTGATAGACTTAGCTCTTCTCAGCAATGCAAGGATCTAAGACATCTTCAAAAGTCTCATGAAGGAAAATGCTATCCACATCCAGAGAAAGAACTATGAAGTTTGAATTCAGATCAAAGCATACTATTTGCTTTTTTTTCTTCTGTTTTGTTTTGTTTCCTCTCTTGTGGTTCCTCCTATTGGTTCTAATCAACATAACTAATGTGAAAATGATTAATAGGAATGTATATGTATAGCTTATATCAGATTGCACACCATCTTGGTGAGGGAGGGGGAGAAAAATTTAAAACTCAAAAGTTTACGGAAGTGAATGTTGAAAACTAAAAATAAATAAATTAATTAAAAAAAAGACTTAGGAACTCTCATCAATGAAATGACCAACTATGTCTCTAGAGGACCTATGATGAAGCATGCTACCCACACCTTTTGACAGACAGGTGACGGACACAGGGTACAGAAAGAAGTGTATATTTTTGGACATGACCACTGTGTGGAATCACTCAGCTTGACTGAGTTTGCTGTGAAATTTTAGGTATATGTTTCCAGGAGACAACAGGATCATCTTATTATTGTTAACTTGACAGACAGCAGCTTCAGTAGCCCTTAGTGCGGAGTTTCCAACTACCACTATGAATCTCTTCTTCCTCTGACTCTTACAGGGTGATCTGTTAGCTGACAGCACCTATAGATAGATCTCCATCATCATTCCTTGGAAGACAAGCAGCTACTTCCTCTTGGATGGTCCACATTGTTCTTCTTTAGGAAGAATCTCATATCTATCACTTAACTCGAAAGTATTTAGGACCCTATATTAGAGCTAGAAATTCCTTAGAAATTATCTAGTAAAACTTCTCATTTTACAGACGAGGAAACTAAAACCCAGAGAGATTAAGTGACTTATCACGCAAGTAGTAAGTGGTAGGTCAGAATTAGACGTCAAGTTCTCTGACTCCAGGTTCAGTGCTCTTTCTACTGCTTAACAATCTCCCTTAGCCATCATAGTAGCTGCGGTCTCCTCCTCCTCCTCTTTCTTCTATTACAGTGAAGCTTTTATTCCACTTTTTGAAGGAACACCTCAATTTTCCTGATGATCTGGAGAAGGAAAAATCATTCCTCAAGTCTATCTGCCTTCTCTTCTAAGAAAGAATTACTTGCCTAAAGTAGCAAGGCAAACATTGCACACACTATGTAGGTCATTGAATAATTATACCTACTCTCCACACTTTCTAAAAGAGCCTCAGTCTTTTGTCATTCTTTCCTGTAGCTCTTACTCTGTTAGAGAAATGCTGTAGAAATTGTCTGGTTGGGTGTTTCAACTCTGGAATTCTCACTTTCCATTCTCACCTCTGTCAGGATTCTCTTACCCTATCTGTATCTTTTTTTTTTATTAGATTTGTTGGCCTTTAATTGGGCAAAATAGCTCTTAATTTTTTAATTCCTATTAATTTATTTTAATTTGTCAATAATAACTTCCATATGCTTTTGAGTTTAAAATTTTTCTCCCCCTTCCTCCCCACCACCCTCCCCAAGACAGCGCACAATCTGATATAGGCTATACATTTACATTCCCATTAAACATATTTTCACATTAGTGATGTTGTAAGTAAAAATTAAAACCAATAGAAGGAACCATCAGAAAGAGGAAACAAAACTCAACAGAAGAGAAAAAAAATAGCAATTCAACTTCCATAGTTCTTTCTTTGGATGTGGATAGCATTTTCCATTACGAGATCTCTGGAGATGTCTTAGATCCTTGTATTGCTGGGAAGGGTTAAGTTTATCAATATTAGTCATTGCACAATGTGGCTATTATTGTGTACAACGTTCTCTTGGTTCTGCTCACTTCACTCAGCATCAGTCCATACAAGTCTTTCCAGGTTTTCCTGAAGTCAGCCTGTTCATGATTTCTTACAGCACAATTGTGTTCCATCACATTCATATACCACAACTTGCTCAGCCATTCCCCAATTGATGGGTACCCTCTCAATTTCCAATTCTTTGCCACCACAAAAAGAGCTGCTATGAATATTTTTGTACATGTAGGTCCTTTACCCTATTAGTATCTTGATAGACACACCCTACTTTTCATCCCTGGTCTTACCAACTTCTTTTCTCTTCTTGTTAGATTTTTCTGTTATTCTTGCAACTGGAATCCTCAAGTCCTCTCAAATTTCACTCTTTCCTTTTCACATTCCCAAAGTGGCCAGACCTCCTTTACTATTCCTTTTCCTGATCTTATTATCTCTGAACTACTGAGACTATTCTATTAAATTGATGATAATTTAGTTCCATTCCTGAAATCGTGAAAACATTTTCTATTCACTGGTAATTCAGCTACATTTTTATTTGCTTCCTAAATAATTGTTGGGACCTCATGAATACTTCAAACTAGAACAACGTTTTCTTCATAGTATATCTGATTTTGGAATATTTTCTTGAATTTTTAAAAATATAATTTGCATCAGAGAGTTGGAAAAAACTCTCAAAGGCCTCTAAAAGATATATCTCCCTATATATAGCAAGTACTCAACAGGTATCTGTTGATTGAATGACTCTGTATGGCTCTGGGTAAGATCTGGATCTACCTGTCAGGTTTTATAGCTATGGAATCAATATTGCTATATACCATTTCCCCATTTCCTACTATCCTGGAACTTTATGAGGATTAGTTTTTTTTAAATACAATAAATTGTTTCTTCACTTATATCAGCAGTTACATGTATTCAAATATATAAACAAGAACAAAACAAAACCTAAAAGTGATTGTAAATGACTATATATGTGTATATATAACTATATATAACCATACACTTCTATTTCTTGCCAATTGTTAAAAGGAATAAAAGATGTATATTAACTTTATCAGGGTCATCCTGTATTTGAAATAAATTCTGTTGCTGTTAGTATTATCTTTATACCACTATAGTTAACATTCTCTTTATATAGTTGTTGTTAAAACATATGTATTTTTTTCTTTTAAATATGCTTGCTTTCTTTTTTTTAACCTCCCGTGACTTCATAGATGGGCAGAGTCTTCAGTGAGGAAGCTCCTTCTAACAATGTAGATGTGAGACTGTTTTCAAGTTATGATCCTATAAAGAGTAGCTTTTGTAACTTGCCCAGGGTCACAAAGGCAGTGTATGTACGCATGCATGCATGTACTTATACACATATGTGAATGCATATATACTCGTACATACACATATGTACAACATAGGTGCATGTGCACACATAGACACACATCTACCTATTTATCTATCTATGAATCGGGTATATGCTGAAGCAATGGGCAACACAGTCCTGCCAGCTTCCTCATCAAGTGCTATAGCCCTTACTTTTTCAGAAAGCATGCTACTGAAGACGACTGAAGACCCAGAAAATAAAGTTTTTTCACTGCCAAAGTCATTGGCATTGTAAAATTGTTAACCATCAGAAATAGATATAGTTTTATCAATGAAAACAACACAACAGAAGATACATTACCATCTGCCATGCCACTGAACCCTAAGGATTACTGGGCCTTCCCATCTGATTTGCAGTTGAACCATCCCATATATGTTGTCTCCCCTTATTAGACTGTGAGTTAAATGAAAGCAGAGGCCACTTGCTTTTTTATTTGTATCCCCAACACTGAGTGTAGTGTTTTGTGCATATTAGGTGCTTTAATAAATGCCTTTTCATTCATTTCTGATTCTGAGGTTGCCTCCCTATCCACTATGCCAGGTTCCATCTTCATTGTTCTTTTTTCTCAAAGTGATTTTCAGAAAAGTTTTTAGGGGTAGCTAAAAAAAGTCATGAGAGTGATATAAAAGACAAATCCCAATGGAACACACAAAAAGAAGGAAGTCATGTATTTTAAAAGCAGTTATTTGAGACAGTAGATTAACATGGGTTGTGTTATACTAACCTTGAGGAAGATGTAACACCCCTGTACTTATACCTGAGACAAAGTCCCCAAATACATATTCCCTTGGTTTATAAGCTGGCAACCATTTACATATGGGCAAGAACATATAGATAATATTCCTTATTTTCTTAGGAGTGCAGCTGGAAAAGACAAAGGGAGACAAGACAAATTAGTAACATATAACTTAGTAAAATTCATAATAGCAGACATTTCTTGCCTGAATTCTATTTTAATAAAATATTCACAAAATTCGTGCTCTGGATAACATTCCCATCCTTAACAAGTTAGAGAACTTAAAGATTTGTCTTTTAGAACCATTTTCTTTATGAGGGAAGCCGAGTTAGTGCTATGATCAATGATCTGTAGCTGACTCTGAAAAAGAGTAGAGGTTTAATTTAGAAGCCAATGAGAATACCACAAGAGAAGCCTGGTAAACTAAACTCAAGACTTGAGTAAGCTAAGCTGAAGACAGACACGATGCATGTTTTTCCACTCAGGAGGAAAGGTAGAAAAGGATGTCAAAGACAGTTTGGTGACATGAGATGAGGACACAAGACTAAGAGAGGTTGTCTAAGGTGTAAGAGCAGGAAACCTAATCTATTGTCCTAGGTAGAATGCATCCTAGGTGAATTTGTGAAGCAGGTATGGGACTTGCTCTGTTTAAGTCAAGGTTGCAATTGATCTTAAAAGGAATCAAGCAAAAGAACGTGTAGGGACCAGAGTACATCTGCCACCACTACAAGATTTAAAATCCATGTACCATTTTGTTGATGTGTCAGTATTGTTGTTATGTAGAAAAAGCAGGACATTTTGATTGTTCCGTGTGAACTGTGTTTTGTACAGCGTGCCCTCTCGTGGTTAACTGTATCTATTAATTAAATAAAGGGTATCCTGGAAAAAACCACTAACCTAGAATCATAGATCTCTGAGTTGTAAAGGAACTCAAGAGATCATTTGTTCTAGCACTTGTTTTCAGACAGGAGGATATTTATTATCTCCATCTTACAAATGAGATAACTAAGGAGCACAGAGGTAAAATGACTTATCCAAAATCATACAGTTAATAAGTCCAACCTTATCTCCATTCCCACTTTTTGCTATATTTGTATCTAGCCAATGTATATTTTTAATCTGTTTCTATTTTGTGTTTTTAATACTGTGTACCTGACCCTATAATTATAGTGATGCTGAAGGGTCAGATCTCTAAAAGTTGCATGCTTTTAATTCATTATTTTTCCCTTTTTTCTCTAGGTTTCATAATAATTCATATTCATTATACAAATATTTTATATCCTTCCCATGATTTTTTATTTCATCAAAAACTTTTTAGAATATCACTTCCAGAACCCAAGTCTCCCACCTCCTAGTACATGCTACTTTTAATATAGCCTGCTGCCTATCACCTTCACGTGGATTTGTTAATGTGATTGAGCGGAACCATGAACAATATAAATCATACCTGTTCCTATTTCTCTTCTTATTTTGTCTGTGCTTGTCTACTTTATGAAAGTTTAAAAGGATCCTAAATCCTTTCACTAATAGGGTTGACTAATATTTATTACAAATACAAAATCTACATAATTTTTTATACATCCTTTTCCATTTCTAACAAAATTAGAACAGAATACCTCCTTTAGAATTCATTATTTACTGCTATTAATGAAATATTCCTATGTAAAAGAAAACAATTAAAATTACATTCCTTGCCACCCACACCAACAGGAACAAGTCTCCAGTACTAAAATTTGAGGTAATGAGGGATCTGATGGGCCCTGGAGATGCAGCACCATTAAAACAGCAAGAAAATGGAATCAGAACTAACTTTTCTGAGTCTTGTCTTTTACTTCGCAACAACAGATCTTTTTTTTAACATGAAGATTAGTTAGTAGTTATCCCATTGGAACTAATTTGGGGCTTGAGAAACTGGGATTTTGACTTAATAAGGTGTCAGCAAAAGACTGGAATTTATTATTATTTTGGCAATGAACCATTTCTTTTTGCTTTTTTATTTTCCTCACGATTGCCTGGGTTTATTTTTGCAATAATATACCAACATGTACTATTTGAGACAAGTCAGAGCTAATGGAAATACTCCAGGGAACCTGAATCTTGCCTGTTTGACTCATTCCTACTTTCTGATAGTAAATGTAGGTCTGTAATTGAAGATGTAAACATTGATTATCAATCAAAGTAGGAGACAATACAGTCACATTTTGTGGTATCTTGTAAATAGTTTTTTCAGGACAAAATTTACCAAAGCATATGTTAGTATCTCTAGGCTTGTTATTGCCTAGGTAAAGTGCTTCCCAAAATGAGTGGTCCTTCTACTCTGGGGTTCTTTGATAAAGCCTAAGGATGCTACCAAATGGTGAAGAAATTAGAGAAAGGATGGGAAAACAGGCTTAGCAGGGAAATTCTCAGGAGAAAGGGAGTGGAGGTGGATAGTTATGTTGATAGTTGGGAAGTACAGAGACAGTTGTTTACAAACTCTCACACATAGGCAAGCTGTAGTAAGCACTTGATAAACAGTCATATTCAAGATGATTATTCGAGTTTGTCTGACCCATAATGGCTGTGGGACTTTATCTTTCAGTGCTCTATCTAGGCAACTTTCCAAGAGAATAATTTGCAGAAAAGATGCTGACCTACACTGGTAGAGAAAATTCCCTTATCTGGAAATTCCCTATACCAATGAAATCACAAGCGTAGTCCTTATCGCTAGTCACTCAGGCAGTCAATAAACATTTGTTAAGAGCCTACTAAGTTCTAGGCACTGTGGTAAGAGCCAGGAATACAAAAAGAGGTAAAAGATAATCCTTGCCCTCAAAGTGCACACAATTTAACAGAGGGACAAGAAAATGAATATGTACAAACAAGTTATATAGGGAATAAATAGAAAAAAAAATCAAGAAGGAGAGCACTAGAATTAAGAGGGTTTGGGAGAGGCTTCTTGTGGAAAATGAGATATTAGTTGGGACAGCCAGGGAAGCTTGTAGGCAAAGATGAGGAAGGGGAACATTTCAGGAATGAGAGACAGCTAGAGACAGTACCCAGAGCCAAGAGATGGAGTATCTAATTAGTGGTACAACAAGGAGGCCAGTGTTACTGGACTGAAGAACACCTGGTGGGAAGTAAGGTATAAGAAGACTGGAAAGGCAGGAGGGGGCTAAGTTATGAAGGGCGTCAAATGCAACTATCTTCATTCAATATGACATCTGCTAAAAAGAGTCATTTAACCCTTCTCATCTTCAGCGTCCTCAACTGTACAACGAGGGGGTTGGACTGGATCATCTCTAAAGTCCCTTCAGGATCTCAATCTATGTTCTTTTGTTTCTATATGTCACTATTTACATGCCCATACAGCCAACACTAACATGAACGGTACAAATGGCTTTCTAAATTATGAGTGTCCACCATTCATTTGTCTTTATCTCAACAAACAGAAGAACTTCTCTAGACCACAGGTCTTATATCTCACAAAGACTTATTACAGACTACACCAAATACCTTAACCCTCTTTCCCCATACCCAATGTACAAACATACTACCTTAAAGCTCGTTTTATCTTATCTCCAATAGGGTCAGAAACCTTGTTCTTCTTGTGTAGCTTCCCATGTAGGGCTGGATAGCTATAGATGGGCCGCTCCACACAGTACATTTGGGTTGCTACAAGAATTTCATTTTCTTGTGTGTGATCCATAGTATCCTGGAAGTTATTCATTGTTAGTAGTAGACAAGCTTAGCTTGAGCGTCACTGTGAAGTTAAAAAAAAAAAAAAGGTAATTTAGATGATTGGGTGTGTGTGTGTGAACATAATTAGAAAAACTGGGAGGAATACTATGATGTCATCTAAGACACATATGAAAGATATTTAAACTTCATCTTCCTAAATCACTCAAGAGGAGGTAATTTCACCTCTCCCCTTGGCAGCCTGTTCCAGTGTTTAACAGGTTTTTTGTTTTGGCCAGGGAGCTTTTCAGTAACTTTATTTTGCACTTCTCCAACTGTCCACTTCTTTGATGACATGGAAAGCAGTTGGCTAGCATTTCCTTTATTACTACTCTTTACTTCCTGAAGACTTCACCCTTTAGCTCATTTTCTTTTAGACTAAATGATCTCAATTTATCATTATTGCTTCTAATGGTAATTAAATCATTTGGGGCTTTTTCCAAAGTCATAATAATTATGGTGGGAAGTACAAATATTTTAAAACATATTTCACATAACATGAATTTTCTCTGTACAAGAAACTTTTCTTGTTTTATTCTTTATACTTATCTAAATTATTACCTATATAACTCTTGTTTTCCTCCAAATTTTCTTTTATTACAAGCTTGACAAACAACAAACACAAACTTTTCCATATGTAAAGAACTGAAAAGAGGATTGTATAAAAATAATGAACCTCTCTCACCAATAAATGGTATCTTTAAAAATATGTTAAATTTGACATGGTAGCACCAATATTCCACTTCGTGGGTCCCTTTTCTGAACTTTCTTCTGCAGATTTTTAAAATGTTTCATTTCTTTTTTTTTTGCAACCTTATTACTACCCTCCCCTGATTCTCCCTTCAAATAACAAAATTTCTCTCTTATAACAAATAAGTATAATCAAGCCAAACAAATTTATACATTGGTTGTTTATGAAAATGTTTTATAGTGTACCTAGAATCCATCATCTCTCTGCCAAGAGTTGAGAGCCGTCTTCCTCCTTCCCTCCCTCCCTCTCTCTTTCTCTCCTTCTTCTAGATTGCTCACTGCATTGATAAGAGATCTGAGGTCTTCCAAAGTTTTTTTCTTTTACAGTGTTGCAGTAATTGTATACATTGTTCTCCTGGTTTTGATCACTTCACTCCACATCAGTTTACACAAGTTTTTTCAAGTTTCTCTGAACACATCTCTTTTGTCCTTTCTTATGGCAAAATAACATTCCATTCTCTATATACCCTAATTTATCCAGCTATTCCCTAATCAGTGGGCACTTGTTTTCTCTCCAGTTGTTTGATACCACAAAATGCTGCTATCACTATTTTTGTATATATAGTTCCTTTCTCTCTTTGATCTCTTTATGCCTACTGGTGATATCACTGGATAAAAGGGTATGTATAGTTTAGTGACTTTTTTTTGGTATAGTTCTAAATTATTGTTTAGAATAATTGGCCAAGCCACAGCTTGCCCAAGAGTGCATTAGCATGTCTGTCCTTCCACAGTTCCTTCAATAGCCATCATTTTACTTTTTGGTCCTCTTTGCCAATCAGACAGGTGTGAGGTGGAACCTCAGAAGTGCTCTAATTTTCATTTCCATTATTAGTGATTTGGAACATTTTTCATGTGATTATTGATAGTTTACATTTCTTCTTTTGATAATTCGCTATTCATATCCTTTGACCATTTACTAATTGGAGAAAGACTTTTGTTTTTATATATTTATATCAATTCCCCTCCCTCCCAATTTATTTTTAATGCTTCATTATAAATTCTATTTTTCACTCTGTTGTTTTGGCAATTTTCCCTTTCTAATTTCTTCATGGCCTTAAAGTAAACTGGGTATTTGGGTAAAGGTTAGTGAATAATATTAACAATAAGTAACATTTGTATAACACCTACTATGTGCCAGAAATTGTGCTAAAAAGTTTACAAATATCATCTCATTTTGTCCTCATAACAATCCTGGGAAGTAGGTGCTATCATTATCCCCATTTTACAGATGAGGAAACTGAGGCAAGTGAAGTGACTTGCCCTGGGTCACACAGCTAGCGTCTGAGGCCCAATGTGAATTCAGGCCTTCCTGAGTCCAGACCTGTTGCTCTATCTACTGTTGTCTGCTTATGTGTCTAATTCAGTCTTGACTACTATCCATGATTTTGAGCTCTTCTTCCTACCCAAGCCCCCCTCCACCTTTTTTGCTACATTTGTGTCTAGTTGATGTGTATTTTTAGTTTGTTTTTCCTTTATGTTTTTCTATGTGATATATGAAAGTACAGGTTATAATTTTGATGCTTAAGGTTCATTTATCTAATTTGTTGATGTTATTTTGAATACCACTTCTTTCTTCCAAGACAACTACACCTGACCTAGACCAACTTGGGCACTGGAGAATTTGGTTCATTATTCACATATTTTAATTAGTCGCATGGACTGTGAAATTACATTCGTACTTGGTGCCAATTTACTTTTCAGTAATAAGTGAGGCAAAGACATTCAGACCACAGGGAGTCCATTTAATACAGTACTTCTGTAACAACCTAAAAGGATCCTGGATGAGCCTCCTCTGAATCTATTTTTCTATCCCATTTCCTTTACTTTCCGGAATAGGAGTGATTCTACAAAGATGTATAATGTTAAAAGAAAAAAAAGCATACAAGTCTTGTAAAGTTCTCCTACACCAGAAATCCAAAGAAAACCCATGGAACCAGGTATGGTACCCATGACGCTATGATACCTATTTAATTCAGCTAAACAATTTGACAAACATTTGTTGAGCACCTGCTTTGTGGAAGGCACTGTGTTGGCACTGAGGATACAAAGATGAAAAACGGCATAGCGCTGCCCTCAAGGAGTTTATGGTTTATTAACAGGGATACAAGAAGTACACAAATACATGTAATACAAAGTAAAATAGAAGAGGGAAAACATCAGTAAGTTAATAATCATATTTTTTTAGATATCTTTTTTTAAACATTTGTTTTTAAGTTTTCAGTTCTATATTCTTTATTTTCCCCCACTTCCTCCTCCTCCCATTGAAAAGGTGAGCATTGTGATACTCATTATACATGTGAAGTCATGCAAAACATTTCCATATTAACTATTCAACAAGCATTTAGAAAATGAAAAAAAAGGAGAGTATCAGACTGTATTAGGAAAATTTCTGGAAAGAGAGAACACTTTTAGTTGGAGGAAGGCTTCATAGAAGAGACTGTCTTTGAGCTGAGTGAGCCTTGAAGGAAGACAAAGATTTCAAACAGCAGAGATCCATGGGGAGTCCATTACGGCGATGGGAGACAACCTGTATGACTGCACAGAGAGGCAAGGGATAGCATGCTACAGAAGATCAGGAAACCAGTTTGGCTAAAGGATAGTGTCTATGATAGTATCTATAAAGTATGACAGTATCTATAAAGGATAGTATCTATGATAGTATCTATGTGACCTAAGGCTGAAAAAGTAGATTGGAGCCAGACTTCCAAGGGCCTTAAACACCAGGCTAGGAAGTTTGTTTTATCCTAGAGGCAGTGGGGAGTCACTTGGATTTTTGAGTAGGGAAGTGACAAGGAAGTGACTTGTGCATTAAGAAGATTATTTTTGCAGCTGTGTGAAGAGAAGAGACTAGAGGCAGAGAGACCAGGCTTGACAAACAGCCCAGGAATAGGTGATGAGGCCCTGAACTAGCATGACTGCAATGTGAGCAAAGATGGAATAAATTCAAGAAATGTTATAGTGACAGAGTTGACAGTTCTTGACAACAAATTAGAGGGGTAATGAAGAAGGAAGAAGCAAAGGGGGTTCTAGAGTTTTGAATATGAATTACTGTGAAGATGAAATAGGGAACAGGTTGTTGGGGGGAGAGGAAGATATTTATAAATTAGTCTTTGGCATCCTGACTTTGAGGTGCCCATGGGACATCAACATTGAGATGTTCAGCAGGTAGTTAGAAAAGCAGAATCGGGTCTATTAATATAACATTTAAAAAATAAATATATATCCTCCATTAAAGTACTCTTCGGATGCTTTATCAGGTGGCTTTGAGTTCTTGAGAGTCATATGTGGTTTTTTGAGAGTTGGTCTAAAGATCTCTAGTGAAGGAACCTGCTTGGTTGCCTCCTGCAGTTGATTTTTTGAATCCAGTTTGCAACTGTCTCTATTAACTCTCATATTATTTGATGACTAGCCCATGAAAACCTCATGTTACCTATCCCTTCCACTTTCATGTCACCTGGAAATCTGATAGGTACACCATCACTGCCTTCAAATAAATCATTGATAAAATTTTTGAGCAGCTTGGGACCAAGGATAGATCTCTATGTTGTTCCATTAGAGACCTACCTCCAAGTTGAAATGACCCATTTATTAATAACAGCTTAGGGTCCACTCAACAAGTTCCAGATCTATTTAAACCTTATTATCTAGCCTTATTATCTAGTCCTCTACCATGTCCACGAGGATAACATGAGGGATTTCATCTAATACTCTGAAATGTGAATTTCAGAATACTTAATTTATCTATTTATCTTTGCCATCCTCTTGCTCTATTAATCTCCCTTCATTCCTCATTCTCACTATCCTCCACCCAGCTGTCAAAGGGATTTTATTAAATTATAGGCCACATAAAGCTATACTTCCTACCCTGATTTTCTGCATAAATTCCAATGACTCTCCACTATCACTAGGCTCAAACATAAGCTCCTCTATCACTTAAAACAGCTCACAACTTCACCTTATTATATTGCTTCCCTCCATATATTCTATGGTCCAGCCATCTCCTTGACTTTGTACTTGCTGTCCCACATGCCTATAATGTACTTCCTCCTCACTCTCACCAATTAGAAACTCTAGTTTCCTTCAGGATTCAGCCCAAGTGCCACCTTCTGCATGAGATCTTCCCTGCATCCCTAACAACTAGTAATTTTCTCCTCAAGGTTACCTTGTATTTGCTTTGGATGTATTTGTATAACTATATGTTTGCCCTACGTCTCCCCCAGTAGAATCTTCCTCGAAGGTGGT